CGCGCACGGCGGTGACAAAAAAAAACACAGTGAGGCGGCAGGTTGCCGTGTCAAGCTGTTCGGTGTCAGCAATTTGGCTCTGGCGGAGCTGTGCTGGTTCGTCTCCCAACTGGATGAGGGAGCCTCTCAGAAGTATGGCCTCATTGGTGGGGGCATACACTGCAGGAAAGTGGATGGCCACAACTGAGGCAAGTCCGTGCTGTTCTGGCGCAAGCGTGCTGACACAAACTAGTCCAAGCGAGTCCACGCTGAGCGACCTGCCCGATGCGAGGAAAGGTGCCGCCTGGGCGGCGCTGCAGAAGGCAACCCCGGATGTCTCCGCTCCGATCTCGTGAAAGGCAAGTTGCTTAAGGGAGGTGCCGTCCCCATTCACAAACGAATCAGGTGCACTCTGGAGCTTTGATGGGTCAACCTGAAGCGGTGTTTGCGCTTTCTGGACAGGCTGACGTCTCTTCTTGGCTTTACCATTCGGGATGGAAGTGCCGAACTTAGCGTTGGCTCTGGCCTCGATGTGCTGAGCAAGCTCGTCAGCCGGGATCCAACGGAACATGTTGCCAGGCTTGGCTGCGATGGCCTTAAGTTGTGTCCATGCCTGCTTGTGCGCCAGGGCAGTTGCAATCCAAGCTTAGCGACTGCAGCCTTTATGCGATCATCGACTTGATCAGCGGGCACCCCCTTCTCAAGCAAGATGGCCTTGAGGGACCCTGTTTGCTCTGTGGAAAGACCGCCTGTGCCATATGCCCTGCCAGGTAAAGAGATTCCCTGCAACAGCTGAAGCAGCAAGCCCTCGACATGGGGCCCCAGGCCTGCAACACAGGCACAGAGGTGCCTTAGCATGACCGCGGCGCAGGAATCAGCCTCAGTCTGCACGAACCAAGTTCCTTGGACGAAGTCATAGGCATCGGTGCCAAGCAGAGCTGCCAGGACTGCTGCGAAGTGCTTGGCATATGCTGTGAGTCGGCCCGGGACATGTACACACAGGCATGCCCAGTGCTCGTCTTTCACAAATGGCAATAGAATGCGGCTGCTTGGCTGAAGGAATCCTTGGAAGCAGCCCGACTGCTTGGCCCCATCAATAGAGAGGCCAGCGATTGCGGCGGCAAGGTCAGGTGGAACACATTCGAACTGCTGCGGCAGAAAGTGGTTGAGGCATTGGACGGCTTGCTTTACATCGGCATCGGAGATGGCTCCAACTGTGCCGGGGCATTTGGCGGGCGGTCGCGCATCAATGACTGCATCCTGAAGCAGAGGCGCAGAGAGGTCACTCTCCTGGCTGCCAATGATCTGGGCATAACCCGCAGGGGCAGCATGTTCTGCAAGGAAGGCAAAAGCGGAGAGGCCTACAGGGCACGAGTGGATCACCGTCCCGGTGGCTGATACAAGTGCAACACGGCAATGGGAGGCAACAGCACCTGCAGAAACAGGTCCGCCAGGCTTGGCGTTCCGCTTGGGATGGATGCGAACTGAGTAGTCCTCTGTCGCGGCATGCAGAAATGCATCTGGAGGAAGCAAGCGCTTGCCCGACCAGAATTGCACAGAAAAACCTGGACCTGCAACCTGTTTTGCTGCCTGCGCAACCTCACGGACTTTCCAGGGCACAGGTGAAGGAGGCAACCGCATCGCGGCTTCAAACTTGATGGGCACGTTGCCTTGTGTGCACAGAGAAGGAAGCGGCCATAAATCCTGCCTGTCCCAGAGCAGTCGCTGTTTGAAATGCTCCAGCAGAACGATGGGATCTAGCGGGCACTCGTCTCCTCTGGAGGAGGCTGACCAACACTGCAAGGTGCTGAAAACCCAGTGCGCTTGCAATGGGGCACTAATGTTTCCCACTAAACACAGGCCGGCCCTGGCTCCTTGCTTGAACTGGAAGGCGGGGGAAAGGGTGTTGAGGAGTCCAGCTTCACACGGGTGGAGGAACCTAAGACCCCTGAACAAAACCGGAAGACCCCCAGACCTCAGTCTTTGGTCTGAGAATCCAGCACTGCGGCATCCGCAAGGGCAGCTACGTAAAGCACTGCCCCACGAGTGCAGGGCGGTGGGAGACTGACCTCGAAGGTTGAGGACACGCTGATCATTGCCGTAAAGTGGGTCTGCCATTAGGCGATTTTCGACCTCGGTCCACATGAGGTCGGCTTCCTCTGCTTCGGACCAGCAAGGCCACGCGGGGACCACATCCTGAATTGCTAGAGGCTGAGAAAGCTTGGGGTACGGCGTAAGGCGCAGAGCAGGTTCTGTGGCAGGGACCAAGCATGCCCACCAGCGGCGTCTCTGTGCAACCCAAACATCCCCAAGTTCAAGGTCTACATGGTTCAAGGCAAGCCCTGCTCGTTGTGCAAACTCTTGAAGGGTAAGCATAATGTCCTTGTGCCCTGCGATCTCCGCAACACACTCGAGCACAATGCAAGGCGCTTGCAAGCGCCAACCGATTTGCAAGACATGTTGCAGGACCTGGCTCCGGGAATCCTCTGCCCCAAGTTGCTGTCCCTGACGTGAATAAGGCTGGCACGGGATGCCGGCCGTTACTGTGCTAGCGCAGTCACTGTGCTGAACCTGCTGCTGGATCTGTAGCTTGACACTGTCGGTTGTGATATCACCCAAAAGTGCGTTGCCTCCATTATCCTGAACGGTAGCAATTGCCAATGGAGAATGATCAACAAACACCAACGTGTGGCCTGCCAATCCTCGCAGGCCTTGCGACATTCCACCAAGCCCTGAGCAGATGTCAACAATGGTCCTGAAGGAAGCTGTCGTCACAGGTTTTGCCGAAAAACAGTGCGAATCCTTCTCAAACCTCAATGAAGCAACGCCCTCGAAAATGCCCAAGAACTTGAGATGATACAAAGTAAAGATACCACTCTGGAAGTCTTCATCATGTATCACAAGCTTTTCGCCAGTCCACTGCGCAGTTAAGCCTCCTTGATCGGAGTGCACAACCCCTGACCAAAGCTGACCGATCTGCAAAGTCTCAAAAGACATGTCACCTAACGCCATTGCGTGAGTACCTCCCGGCGTTCTGTGGTAAGCTGCTCTACCCCTGACAGGAACTCGGGCCAGAGCTTAAGGCTTGTGGTTTAGGGTTTAGGGTCCTCTTATTCTCAGGGTTGTGCCTCTAAGGTCGTGCCCGTAACAGGTTTCCCTAAGATGGTCGCCATATGGCCCTTACATCAAGAAATGTGGCCTCTCATTGCCCCTTAAAAGGACAGGGGTGTAACCCTGCCAGTGCAACCCTAAAACCCAGGATGCTACCAAGATTAGCTTCCATTTCATTATCCATTTC